GCTATAGGTTTCATCCAATCAGATGACCTTTTGCCACATGTTTGCTCTGTTCCTTACATGACTTGTGGTAAACTCCTGATGGGATTTCTAATGGCTTAAAATGTCAGATTCATTGTGTGGATGGCCGATCCTTTCAACAGATCCACCCAGCAGAGCTGCGGATCTCTGCACTGTGCGAATTTTCCAAAACATGGCACGTTGTTTTATGAGCCAGCTCTGCTTTTAATGTTTCACAACTTTTATGATGCAGTTTGTTAAGACGAATCTGGTAGAAAACGTTTTACTAATTAGGCGGCTTCTGATGGGAAACGGCTGCACAAGAATCACAATAAAAATGGGGGAAACAAACACATACCAGATTTTTTTTAGGTTATTTCTCTCTTTTCAATAAAGTCGTGCTTCTATTTCACAGCTATTGCTTTCCTTTGTGCTGGTTTAACACAAAACGACAAAAAGTATGAAGGTTTGTGGCTGCCACGCGGCGACATTCTCTGTTTTCATTCTGTCGTTTTACAAGAACCAGCATCACATGTGGCGAGAAGTGCTAAAATGTGACAGAAAAATGCTTTTGCTAATCTTCTGTCCTGGATCAATTCCTGCTTCTTTTTTTTTTTATGTCCCTGTGTGCAATTAGAGGAGCGCGAAGAAATTTATTTCTATTGTTCCTCAGAAGTCATTTTCATCCACAACATTCTTTTGTAAATTGAAACCAGGTATAATGAGTCATTTATTCTTGGGAATGAGAACACAGTGAATCATAACTTAGTCATTTTGAAACAAATGGATGCTCCATTAATCATCCCAATTAAATGGCATTTAGACGCTTCTCTGCATTTTGTTTTCAGGGTTTAAATTTATAATAATAATAAATTGTTTTATGGATAAGAATGGTCCAGAAAGCTTTCAACTAGGCAACCAGGTGTGAAGAACGTTGGTGCTCTTGTCTAAACCAAAAGTAAATAAGAGGAGTTTTATTTAAGATCGTATACGCAGCGAGGGGAAAGTCGTTGAAAAGTGGTGCTTTAAAAGATAAAAATAAAGGAGAAGAATCCTTTAAAATCATTGCAGTAAAGTGAGAACTTAAGCCAGTAGAGGTCAGCAGAAATAAGGTTTTAAGATTGCTGTCCAACAGTGACTGCTGTCAGCTGCAGACCGCTTTCAGACTGGTTAGACTTTCATAAGCTTATGCACTGTTTCCCCTTACCAGCTGGTTGAGATAATAAATTACATCTGTAGCCACATGTTGGACTGGAGACATTTGTATGTGTAATGTTACTCAGCTTAAAGTGTGTATATTAAAATCCCAATCCCAAAATAAAACAACTGGCTGCTGAAGCACAAAGTGTTTCAGGTGCAGATGAGGCAATGAGGTGACATCTGCAGAAGTGTGACATTTTGGGCCAGACTCTGCTTTGAACTCCTGCCACACTTACACTTGGTTATGAATCTACCAGCAGAGGAAGTTGGTGCTGACAACAAAAACACCCAACCGTGAAACCTTTCTAAAAGTAGATGCGGCTTCCAGCAGAGTAGAAGAAGAAGAAGAAGAAGAAAAGACATTCAGTTATTTTAAAGAGATTCAAACAAGCATCTCCAGGAGTTTCCAACAAACAAGTTTGATCCGTTGACACCCCTAGTTGGAACTTGCTGGACTTGAAATACTTCCTATTGGCAAATTGCAACTTCTTTCTTTTTTTTTTGTTGCATTTAGCGTATCTGTCAGAACCACACCTACTGAATGCACCGCTGAACGTTCAACATGTATGTTGATAAAAAACAGTTGCAGTGTGCTTCAGTATGACTCAGGGTTCTTGCCCAGTGATAGGTTTCGGTTTACTGACATGAGCAACACATCTGTGAAGGAGTGTGCATATCCAATTCTTGACATCGGGGCTGTCAGAGATTGAGATAAGCAAGACAAAAGCAGCACGCAGACTGCTACAACCTAAAATTAATCTTTCTACACTGACTGTGAGAGTCGGAGTTTGGCATTTGAGTTTAAAAAAGAAAAAAAGAAGAATTCCTTCATCTTTCTCAAAAATGTTGTTGACATTTGTCCAGCACATCAGTTATTATTACAAAGTTGTGTTTTTAGTATGCAATGGTTGAAAGAGGAATGTTTGTTTTCTGCAGAAAGGACGTTCCCACATTGACCAGGAATCACTAAGTGTTTCATCAGCAGTTTATCTGGCTGTATTTTGTTTTAGCTCTTAGTTTTTCTTACCGCTTTTGGTCAACTCTCATAGAGCTACAAATGGAGGCGAAGCTCAGATGAACCTAGAGAATAAGCTCTCAACAGCAGAACTCAGAGAGATGGCAAAAGACAGGGATCACCCTGCACCAGTCATCACAGAGCAACACAGAGGCACACAACCATGCTTAACACACACACACAAACACACACACACACACACACACAGTCTTAAGAGTAATTGATGTTGCAGTCATGTTTTTGGACTCTGGGAGGAAGCTTGAGTACCTGGAGAGAAACCCATGCATAGGGAGAAAATGTCAACACCATACTGGGACTCAAAACCAGGACTTTCTTGCTCCAGTGCAGCGGTGCAAACCACCCTCCACTCTGTTTTAGTCTAAGCTGGGAGTCTGCTGGAATATACGAGCCTGTGAACATGTTTGACCAAATCGGAACGTAACAAAACCATACCAATTTCATCAGTTGTCCGAATGTTTTTGGCATATGATTGAAAACCTAACATTCTTTTTTCTTTATTTACCATTTCTATGAAATTCAGGAAAAATTCAAGGAAAAATGTTAATTTTTTTTAAGCTAGCTATTTTCTTCATTCTAAAAGCTAAAGAAAACAAACAAAAGAATAATCATCAAACTATTGTCATTTCACGGAATCCACAATTCTGAAGCAGTTTGTGAGAATATTAATTTGGAGAAGTCCAGTTTAGTGTTAGATAATATTCCTTCTTCTCTCTTTTTTTAATAATCATTGTGAAATGAAAAAGAAGGGCACATTATAATTTATTCTAATTTACTCGGTGCTGCCCTGTCTCAGGTCTGTTATTGTTATGAAGATTCTCAATCTTAAGATTTTTTTATTATTATTATTACTTTTAATGTACTTGAAGGCACCATTTTTGTGGACAGAAAACTTGATTTAATTTGAAATGAAATGAATTGGAATTTTATCAGCTAAAATCTCCAGTCTGTGACCAAAGGGAACAAGAAAAAAAAAAAACCTTGCATACTTGCAAACAGTTTTTCTTGCCGAAGTCGATTACAAAACAACAACAACAAAAAATCTCTATGTTATCTATCCTTAAAGCATAGGGGCAACAGAGAAAAGAAAGATTCATGACATTAATATTAAATACATATTATACCCTGGTGTGCACAAACGGGAACCATGTGGGCTGAAGCGTGCTGCGTCCTTCCAAACTGTAAATGAGGCTAAACTGAGGGAGGGACAGAGAAACTGCGTCTCTCCCTCTGGGGAAATGTGTATGTGTGTGTGTTTCTAAGAAAGAGAGAGGGGGAAGAAAGGATGGGAGTGTGTGTGAACAGTTATTTAGTTTCTCCCCTAACGTCGCTCACCGCATTCTTGTCTTGACTGGAGGCGAACGGAGAGCGATTTAAACACACACACATACACTCACGCACACACAGAGAGAGAGAGACAGAGAGAGAGAGAGAGAGAGAGAGAGAGACCAGAGAGGCAGATTGGAGCTGAAACTTGGCTGCAGACGCTCCTTGTGCAGGTCAGTCGATCTTCATAATCTTTTAATATTCTTATGACAGTCCAGAGTCAAGAGTGCGTCTGCAGGACACTGTCCATCACCAGCGCGAATTGCTCATTTGGTTTAAGTTGCAGATTTGCATCTACATTCGGAACGTCTTCTCCACCTTTGCGCGTTCAAACCCGGCAGACCTCAAATGTTGCTGATGATGTCAAATCGCACATCTCATTCTTTTGCGTGCACGCAAAAGGGACCTGCAGTCGACCAAGTTTATCGGTTGACTGCAGGGTTTTTGGTGTCAGCTTCAAATCTAGGCACTCGAAGAGGAGTCGCTTGGCGCTTTTGGTGAAATCTCCCATCATTACGCTGTCCGGTTAGCGGGGATACCTTCACGCAGCGTTTGGATTTGGCGCGTTGGACCCCAGCGCAAAACAAAAGCGAGGTTTTACGCACGCTTGCCTCCAAAACAGCATTTTCAGAGTAAGGGTCTCCTCAGTCCAACGTCATAACAACATCTCGACACACATGATGTGCGAGGTCCTATGCGCAAAATGCGCGAACAGTAACACAACTCTGAGCGCTAATCAGACAAAATAGAGACAACTTGCTTTAAATGTCCCGGCTGTAAAAAATAATAATAATAAAATAAAAATAGAAGAAGAAAGAAAGAAAGAAAGAAAGAAAGAAAGAAAGAAAGAAAGAAAGAAAGAAAGAAAGAAAGAAAGAAGAAGGCTCTGAAACGATGTTAGGACGATGATTGTTTGTTTTTGTTTTTTCTTTCTTTGTTTGCAAGGAAAGAAAGAAATTACCCAAATTCTTTGAAACGTTGACCGTAAGGTGAAAGGTATCCAGTAAAGTCACTAAACCAGAAAAACGATTGCATGATTTTTTTCAGTTTCTATTGTGGAGGTGTAAGGGCAGATATTTACTTTTAACAGTGTCAGGCAGAAGTGTGTTCACAAAAGACGCAATGAACTTGTCGATTTTTGTTTTAAGTAACTCAAATAAGTGGATATTAGCAGTGGCGGCTGGGGCGATATACCGCACAGAAGGGAATCGTGTCTGGAAAAATAATAAACAATTGACCAATCAGCATTTCTAACCCCTTTGGTTAGCTCGGAATTTTGCCCTGACATCGAAGATGCCGAAAGTTTTGGGTCGCCATGGTGATAAAGTTAAATATGGCGACAACAGCAGTCAGGGAGGGAGATCTTGCTTGAAAATGGAAAGGATTTCCCAGCAGACATGTAAGCTACAGTTTTTGTTCCTCGGCCTGCCTTATTAGTTTTAGCTTCCATGTTGCTCTGCTCTTTTCCATTATTTAATTTTTCTGTCCATCTGTTGTCACTTGGTCTTTCCTGTTAAGCTATTGGACGTGAATTATTTTATGCGTTTTGTTGCCTTTATTAGCAAAAAGCTAATGCTAAATGTTGCTGAGATTTCTTTATTATTATTATTTTTTATTAATGGTTATGCTCTTTTGTTGTATGTTTTGAGTTCCTGTTCTAATAATGTTTGCTTGAAATGATGTTCAGATTCTGATCTGGTGTTGGACAGGGACAAGCTGAAGTTCTGTTTGCTGACTCAGATGTATGGACATTCATAAATAAATCCAGTGGGGAGCTTGGTGTTTTGGTTCCAACGGAGCTTTAGTCCTTCTAATTTTTGGGTAACTTTTGTCAAAGTAGACGTGATTATTCCATCCCGTACCAGTGTGTTTTCTGTTATTTATGATAGGAAGGCCTTGTCTAGTGTAATAATTGATCATCTTCAGTCTTAATAGAATTTTGCTTGTTGGTTCTCATAGTTTTTTAGTTTGATTGACCCTGATTTCATGATTAAATACTGTATGTTTCACAAGTTAACGAACAGAACTTTTATTTTTAGCTAATTTAACACTCCATAGTATTTCACTGTGTGAAGAATGTTATATAATTGTGGAACTGTAGTCAGTTTCCTGTGTTCAGTAGAATCCATACTGGACTTGGAAGAGAAATATATCAGCCCCAAGTTATTTGTTTGTTTGTTTGTTTATTTTTAACCAGCCACCACTGATTATTGGACATAATGGCAATATAGTCCAATTCAGTAATTGTATTAAAAATACATGAATATTTCTACATAATACATCATTGAATTGCATGTGCACTGCGCAGTATGAATAATGAACCACCACACACTGTATGTCAATGAACCTGTTTTTAATTGGGCAGGTGTAAAGAGAAAGAGAAGAGCTGGTAGAACGAGCTCGTAGTTAGCACACCATATGGTCTGTGACGTAACATCAACGACGACATTGCCTCTGTGCGTGCGCGTCGGTTAGTGTGTGTGTGTGTGAAGAGCGCGCGCAGCTACACATTAGATCCTTACTGACCCACAAACACCGTGTGACATCACACGTTCCCCGCTCGCAGCCTCGCGCGACGAAGAAGGACAACAACATACATTATTTATTAAAAATAAAAATAAAATACCTAAACGATGAACGCCGTGACCACCGCAGCCTGCCTGCTCGTCGCTGCCGTCAGCTACTACCTCTACGGCGGCAGCGACGTGCTGTCATCGCTGCTCGGTGTCTTTTCTGCAGACGAACCCTCCATGCCCGAGCCGGGAGATGCTCCGCGGCGAAGCCCGCAGGGAGTTCCCTACACCGAGCTGCGCCACATCGTCAACGCCGACGGACTGCACCTGTTCTGCCGCTACTGGGAGCCCGCAAGTCCGCCAAGGTCAGTGAAAAGCAGAGCGGGGAATACGTGATCCGTAATCATGACAAAATCAGTAGGAAAACACTCCACCAGTTTTGATATGCTTTATTTCTTGCGGCCAGTACGTGATCTTGTGATGTGATGTTACAAGTAATTCAGAGCACATGGCTGTTTCCCGTCATGGAGTCACATGACTTTAAGTTTAACAGATGGGGGGAACTGCGGTTCAGATGACAGTTGGGTTGTCCATTGAAACCTGCTAGGTACTTGCGCATGCATGCTGCTGTGCCATCAGCTGTTCGGCACCCTGTGATAGTGCACCAGTTAGTCTGAGCTCCTTTATTTTATATTAAGGTTTAACTTTCCAAGAGTTGGTCAGACTGTTTCATCAGTGCTGAAAAACTGTCTGTCTTAATCTCTTATTGGCTGTTAACCTTTATTTATTGACTGGAGGTTTTCTGTCTGGACATCGTGGAGCTTTAAACAATAAAAGTAGGTCAGTATTAGGAGTCAATAATGACTAAAAGCTGCTCTAATCTATAGGAAGTCTGGATTATTTCTACTCATTGTGCATCATAAAGACATTTTAATTATGATAATCTCTGCATAGACAACATGATGACTGACTCTGGGTTATTATGTTTAAAAAAAACCTGCAGAATCTGAATGTTTGGCTCAGGCTGTAAGCTAAAATAGTCACTGATGTTATTATGCATTTAGCTTTTACAGAACCAGACCAATCGCCTGCAGACTCTTTTATTTGGACAATTCAAACTCTGCTTTTAAAACAACTTTGTTAATTAATGATAATAGGATTGTAATAGGCTGCACAGTGGCGCAGTTGGTAGAGCTGTTGCCGTGCAGCAAGAAGGTTCTGGGTTCAATTCCCGGCCCCAGTCTTTCTGCATGGAGTTTGCATGTTCTCCCTGTGCATGCGTGGGTTTTCTCCGGGTACTCCGGTTTCCTCCCACAGTCCAAAAAAACATGACTGTTAGGTTAATTGGTCTGTCTAAAATTGCCCCTAGGTGTGAGTGTGTGTGGGCGCATGGTTGTGTGTCTCTGTGTTGCCCTGCGACAGACTGGCGACCTGTCCAGGGGGTACCCTGCCCCTCGCCCGGAACGTTAGCTGGAGATAGGCACCAGCACCCCTCCCGACCCCACTGAGGGACAAGGGTGTTCAGAAAATGGATGGATGGAGGATTGTAATAGCAGCATCATGAAGGGACAACACAGCTCAAAATAAGAAGTAAAGATGCACTGTTCTGAGTTTCGTTGTTGGTTTGACAAAACTGATTTGAGCCGATTTGGCTATAAGAACTATACTATAAAATACAAAAAAACACATTTCTTTCTTTCATGTCTAAACATGTCATATTGGATAAATAGCTTATTACAGTTTTTAAAGTCTTCTTCTGACTTTTTTGTTTCTTTTAACAACTCACTGATGCCAAAAAGAGCTAACCTGGATTATTTTTCCCTCAGTAATATAAACATTGAAGAGTGTTGTTACCCCAGTACAGTCAAGTGTTAAAGGACATGCATCAGCCCAGGAGATAATTCCCAGTCCAAGTTCGTGTCACAAATATTAGGAATTAAAGTGTGCTTTTTAACCCCTGTGGACAGAATCTACTCTGCACATGTAGTGTTCACAATTGAACAGCATAAATGTCTGAAAATCATGGCTCATTCTCCATTCTGATGGATAAATAACATCATTGTCTCCTTGGCAAAGCGACATCAAATCACAGAAGTATTAAAACACTTCTGAGTACTTTACTGTAGTGCTGATGCTTCCCTCGGCCTCCTGTTGTTGGGCCCCCTGTGGTATGCAGTCTCTAGCTTTTCAAGTCCTCTGCACCCGTCACATGTGAGTCTGGCAGAGTGTACGAAACCCAACGCATTGCTCACATCTCTGAGATGCCAAGCTCTCCTACCAGCCGCAAAGCTGCATGCATGCCACGCTAAACAGAACATCTGGAATTGACACATGGGCCCACACATTTCATAAAGACCATGGTTTGTTTTCTGGCTCAGCTGTGGAGCAGATTCACGTCTTACAGCCACATCTGTATATGTGTGTGTGTTTACACAGCAGTCATCCGTGATTAACTGTGTTTGTACACAGGGTTACTTGTATACCTGTGTGTGTGTATATGCTTGGGCAGATGAGAAGCAAACACTGAGGTCTTGTTTTTGTGTAACTATGACTGATGAGGCAAATGCTGCCCACAATGCTCCTGTGGATCTAAACAACAGCACACTCACACTAAATCCATCCTTTAGTGTCTTACCTTCTGCTGGTAGATCTTTGCAGATATGAATTTCTCTTACACACGTGCTAAAAAGCTGAATCAGTGTAGCGCTGGAATATCTGTAGAGTCGCTTGTGCTGTAACTGTTTTAAAGCTGCAGCTTTTTATGGCCTCTGTAGGCGCTTTCTCACTGGAGAGCAACCAGTAAACCTGCTAAAACCGCGAGCAGGCACAGTGGAAGGAGACTGAGTAGCCCCTGTGGGCTGTATCGAGTTGTGTTCACGTCTTCACCGAATTTACTGCCTGTCATGTGACAGTGTTATTCATTGGAGTTGTTTAAAACAGATCAGTTGTTTAAAGTTTTAGACGCAAGCACCACAGTTTTGAGCAAGCATGGCTCCAAAGTGTGTAACAGCAGAAGCTGCAATTAAGCTTTAATGTGATGGTTGCATTCTTTACCCAGACTTATTAAAAGTTTTTTACTGAGTTTGCGGCTGTCGTAATTACAGACAAGTACTTTTCAGTTTTTCTGGGTGAAGAATTGCAGCCGCTCTGTAGTGACGGTGGAATTACAGTTGTAGTTTTAAACTGCATTGTTTATGATAAATCAGCAATGTTGGGTAATAGAAATAGTTTGGTGGAGGGATTGTCTTTAACTGGAAAGTCAGGGTTAAATCACTAACTAAAGACTTGTTGGCAAACGTGTGAACTTCCAATTTTCTCTGATAGACTTACTGGCATCTGTTCACCCTAAGGTGGTTTGGATAAAAGCAGTTTCTATCTTTACTAAGAAAAGACACAGACTGAAGGTTTCCTGTAATAGATCCACAGGCTTACAGTGACCATGTGCAACTGCTGTCAGATTATTATCATGAGATGCAGTAATTGTGATATATTAACGACGTAGAGGTTTCTACATCGCTGTTCGAATCTGCTTCTTGCTCAGCGAGAAACAGATTTAGATCAAAGAAAATGAAGAAGACAAAACTTCAGTTTCAGCAAAAAAAACATATTTTAAATTGTAAAACAATAATATAAATACATTTAAGGTATATATTTTTGGATATAGTAGAAGTTTATTTGCATTAGGTAAAAAGATTAAGGATTTTTTCTTGATATAAACAGGACCCAAAGGAGATAAATACAAAGAGATTGCTTGTAGCAATTTATGTTTTTCACAAAAAAAGGGATAATTAACATTAATTTAGTAGTTATCTAAATGCTAATCAGAGTCATTAGGTTTTTGAACAACAAAGCACTCAGACAAAAACCACAAAGATGATTAATGCAGTCATAATAAGCAGTTCATTATCCATCACCAGGGGATATATTAAAGCCAGTGTTTTACATTCCCATTTCTACAGGGTATCACAATGCCGTTTGCACTACGACCAAAGTATAATACAAAGCAATAATTCTGCAGCTACTCCAAATAGTAAATGCACTGAAGTGTTAAAAAGCAGAAATGAATCATTCAGGCTAAAATGAAACCCCATGGTGACTGAAAGGGGGAAGCCCAAGCAGGGTGTTCATAGTGACCTTTGTTTGAACATACTAGAGGATTAGATGACCGAATGCAGGAATAGTTCATGACAATAAATATCTTTTAAAAAAAATGTAACGGTAAAAGAATACAGACCTGCACCCACCAGGCACATCATAAGTAAATAATTCAAAGGGAAAAATCCAATTACTTAGCACTATTTTTATTTAAATGTATTTAAAGATTGGTAATGTACTTCAAACATAAAGATAAGCAGGTATTAGCATACAAATGTTTAAAACAAAAAGTGTAATGTATAATGTGCTACATTTATATAGGAATAATATATATATATATATATATATATATATATATATATATATATATATATATATATATATATATATATATTTTTTTTTTTTTTTTTTTTTGCCATTTTAGAACCAGAACTGTCTGTATTCTGGGGAAAAATGAATATATAACAACTACCTTTCTGGTAGCTTATTATTTTACAGGGAAATAATTATGAAGGATGAACTAAATATTAATGGACATTTTTGTTGTTTATATTTACTACCCTGTTTTATTAAAAGCCATCTGGGGAAAAAAATTCTTTAGAAATTACCATGTCACATGTTTACCATATTACCATGTCACATATTACCAGTACAACAGTACTTGTTTTACTTCCTCAAACAGCAACAACTGAAGTGTTTGGGACAAAATATCAACTCAGCATCCAAGGTTATCCTCCGGACATTACTATCTATTTCTACCGAAATTTGCTAAGTAGTAAAAGATGTTACTTTATTTTCACACGAGGTGAGCATAACAAAAAAAATCAGGTCAAAGGCTTCTGAATGGTCCTATTTTAACAAGAAACAGGTGAAAGGTATCAAGACAGACATAGGGACGTCTGTAATCATTTACAGGGTCCTAGCAGATGTTTGACTTGGGTTAACCGTCAACAAACATGAACACACTGACAGATTTGGAGCTGTATCTGAAACCTGCACCTGTATTTTAACAACTCTTTTTGTTTAGAGCGGACAGCTACAGCCCCTCACCGTGAAACGTCAGATGGGGTCAGGGTTTTCTTTTCTGTTTGCATTTTAGCAATGTCAGGCGGTTTAAACTCTCCTCCTGTGCCTGTGGACAATACTTTCATTACAATGGCTCTCTTTGTTTTAACACTTTATGGCAGATCTGTAACGAATGAGGGAAAATCTATAACATTGACTTCAGGTGGCAGCTCACTTTAAATATCAGGAACTGATGTAAGTTTTT